ATCCTGAGATACCCCAATACTAGTAAACAAGGACTCAACTGTTAGATAGCTCTTCTCCGGGTTTGATAGTTCATTCCATATTTTTGTCAAAATTGCTTTTGCTTCATCTGTAGTAAGTAATTTTGGAACTTGTTTCGAGTCACTTTGGTCCATTTCTGTATAATCTGCATTAATATCATTATACTCAGGATTCACTTCATCTAACAGATTAACATTGACATCTGTAGTTTCAGTCACAGCATTATCAACTCGTGCAATGAATGTTTCTTTAGAAGGGGGTCGCGGAAAATTAAACCTACAAGAAGTACCTTGCTTCCGACAACTTTTAGAATGTCGCATACTGTGTTTCTGAACACTGTTTACAATCTCAAAGAGTTCATCATCACTTTCTTCAGATGGAATTCCACAAGTAATATATTTGTCAACAAATTCTGTTACTTCTATGTCCTCATTATCATCCACTCTTGGTGCATCTTTAACCCAAAAGAGACAGTGTGTGTGGGGGGATCCACGTTGCTGAAACTCAACTCTATAAAAGTAATCTACAATTTCTCCAATAGGTTCCGCAGGTGACATAATTACATGTTTTAAAAAACAATGAAATCTATGATCAAACATTCGAGCAGCTGTCACAGGGTTGTTTCTCAATATGGCACATTTTTCAGACCAATCAAGCTCTTCAATTGTGCGTGTGTCACCTTGCTCACTTAGAATAGCCTCTATAAATTCAGGCCACCTCATATCAGCTGAACTAAAACTGCAAAACCATGTAGGTATTCCCAGCTGCCTTAACATAGCAAATAAGTCTTTCTGTGTGCTTTGCCAAAAAGGTGGTGTTCCTCGAATTGGCTTGAGAAATTTAAAACCTTCATCATTATTCAAGATTTCTTTCAGTGACTGTGCATCTGTGAGAGTAGCAGAAGTTACTTTTTTACCACATGCTTTACCAGACCCTTTTCTTAAAGCAATAGACACATTTGATACAACTTGTTGCACCTCTGATAGATACTGAGCATAAAATATGAAATCAGTGTTTTTTGCAAATCTACCATCTGCATTCATTAGTCGCATATGGAGATAACGAGCAAGTGTTATTCTTTCATCCCGTTTATCATAAAAAGTTGGTGAGCCTGTTGGATACAAAGCAGGAAAAGATTTGGCTTCATTGGTTTCATCCATCAACATCTGCACTGGATTGTTTCCCTCAGCAGGAGCCACACATTGAATGGTGTCATAATGATGGTCAAGAACTTCCTGAGCTATATCAACAGGTTGAAGACATGTATCAAGAAACATTCCCTGCTGTTGTGTAACCTGTTCTTCATGCTCTGTATCAATGTTTTCATCGTCTTCATTTACTGAACCAATCACATTTGAGGCATCATTTTCATGATGTGGCTCATTGTCTTCAACAGTTTCCAATAGGGGATTTCTCCAATTTTCATTGAAACAAATATCACTATACCATTTGTTGTTTGTCTTGAGATAGTGCAAAGCATCCCTTATATGAACATCGTTTACAAACTGATACTGATAGTGTCCTTTATAAGTGAGTTTCCTCTTTAATTTAACTCTGATCATTTGATCATCAGACTCAAATCTTGGTAAAATAGATGTTACCTTCTCAACACTTGAAGGAACGCAGACAACAGGCCCATGGACACCATTTTGACCACCCTTTGGTAGAGCTAACATTTTCATAAATGGAATGTGCAAACAAATCAAATGTTGTTCAAGGGAATTCAGGCACTTCAGTTCCTCTGGAATAGGCTTTATATACAGATTATTGGCAACAGCTTCCGCTGGCATTTTCCCTTTTAGAAGTTTTCGATGACAAGTGAAACATATCCATAATCTGCAATGCTCTTGTCTCAGATACAGACAGTTATCATCACACGTGTTGGTGCATTCATGAACATAATCTTTGGTAATACACTTTTCAGCAATAGATGATACATTCCCTCCTTTATTGAAGTACATCTCTTGTTTACAAAAAAGAACTTGATCTCTGAAAAGTCGTCGATGGCAAACTGAACAGACATACTTTGGGCCATTCGCAATCTCATTCCTAAAGGTATTTGTAACTTTATCTATGTTTTTCATAGAATTCACTTTGGACTGCCTGGTGGCAAGCACTCTCAATTTAGTTTCCTCCCTGGTACTTTCATTTTGTGCATACTTTTGAATACCTCGTTTCTTTACTGCTGCTTGGTGACTTTCATTTTGTGCATACTTTTTTATACTTTGTTCCTTTACAATTAGTCTGTGACTTTCATTTTGTGCATACTTTTGAATACTTTGTTCCTTCAATTCTGCTTTATAAGCATTATTTTTTCTGTACCTAGTAATTATTGAAAGTTTCTTCTTCTCTTGAAATTGATCATCAGTGTGATATCGTTCTACTTCTTTTTTTAATTTCCACTTTTTTGCTATGCTGCTGTGGTCATCAGCTGGTTCTTCACATTGCTTAGTTTTTTTTTTAAGATGATAAAGAATTCTTCGCAGCCTATCATTTGCACGCTTCCCTTTTCGTTTTAAAATTTGGCCTACATGTACTGATGATGTACAAGTATCTGTTGACACTTTCTTTTCACATTTATGTTGTTTATTTGATATTTTCTGGTCAATATTATGGTCTGATAAATGATGTCCAACAGTTTGTAAACTTCTCTTACTTCTACCCACTTCAGAAATAGTAGACGAGTTAGTATTATGTGTACACACAGATGTCAATACTCCTGGCATCTTTACACACTCAACAACTTCATAGTGGATCTCCATACAGTGATTCAAGTATATCCCTTTTTCATTATTGATGATGTTCTTGTCGATTTGAGTGCTTGAATATTTTAGCCATCTTCCTTGACTAAATGTGTAAATATCTGTTCTTAAAAGATGAGCAGCTGCAACTATTTCAACTTCTGTTGCCCATATTCGCAAATTCTCCATTCTCGACTTGACTAAGTAATCACTAACCGACTTGTAACCTGGTCTTAAATGACCATAAAACTCAGTAGCATTCTCTTTTAGGTGATTAACAATAGCCAACCTTATTCT